CAATTTAATATCTCTTATATTTTTTAAGCATAACTTAAGAATAAGATCCGAGTCTTGGTTAGCAGGAGAATTCAAAGCATAAAAATAGTTTGAAGAAATCGCTGTGTGTTTATAACTGGGTTTTCTCATCAATTTTTGACCAGGCTTATCTGTTACAACAATAGCAGGCTCTATAGTCTTAATGCTTTCATAGTCTTCCTTTGCCAATAGTCTTCTCAAAAAAGAATCTGTAAGCTGGAACTTTTTACCGGTGCTATTTAATGTAGTTGTTGACATATCAAACAACAGCTATATTTTTCATTCTTGTAATTTTTTATTTGCATTTTTTGCTAACCTTTCCATAAACATAACAATTTTGAAAAATAGTTAAACGGGAAAAAAGGTTGAAATAAAATTATATTCGTTATTTACAAAATCACCAGGGATACATTATGGAAATCCTATTCAAGCGTCTGCATATCTGAACATTAAACATGTTTTTTGCATATGAAAAACAGCGTACTGGCTAAATCGGTCAATTATATTTTCACATTTTAATTCGGAAGAAAAAAATGGAGCGAGAGTAGAAACTCAAGACATACATCAAGATATGCCTAAAAAAGTATTGTTTAAAGAAGAGTGTTTACAAACCTTGTTTATTTTCTTTAATACTTTCTTTATAATACATATTTGCAAAGCAAATTTCCGATCCTGAATTGATTGTTTATTAAATGGTCAAATTTGCTTAAAACGTTTTGAGAAAACCCTCCTTTAAAAAAAAACAACTGATTCAATTGAATCTCTCGTTATTTGAATGCATAAACGATTGTGATCTGTAGTTATTTTACAAGACTTGTCAAAATATAAAAATATTATAAATCTAAACAAAATATATACTTTATAACGGAGCAGCCGTAGCGCAGTGGTTTGCGCGCTTGCCTCAGAAACTTGAGATCCGTGGTTCAACGTTACCTCTGGGCAAGTTTGATAACATCGGTAAAAAAGGAGGCGTGGACTTTCTTTCAAATGCTCTTCCGCGATGCTCTGTGATATAACCGTAAGGACTTCTTGGGGGACCTATTGATAAATATTTTGGTTTCTGAACACTATTTTTTGTAATCGTCTTAATTCTACGTAATGAAGGCTCAACACACCTCAAGTGTGTACAGCATCTTTTCTATTCTATTCTATTCCAATATCAAATACAAACAATACTTTTAGTAATAGTATTAGCTGTAACTGGTGTGAGCCAGTGAGTGTGGTATTAACACACTTTGACAGTTAATTTGCTTCATTCCTGTTCATTCAACAATCAAGACCTGCTAAAACTATTAACTGGTTGTGCATCAACCAACTCCCTTGGAAAGCTTTTCATAAATTGGCTGATCAATTAAATAAAAAGTTTTCATGACACGCTTGCTAATTGATTTCTTTGACAAATTTAAAGCGGTGACCTCTCGTTTGAGTATATTGAAAACTATTTTTTTTTTTAATTTTTTGCAAATTATTAAAACCGATAATTTAAAAAGTTGAGTCATGTCTCTTCTTTGTTTCCTTTTTGTCAAGGTAGTGAAGTCAGAAGCTTTTAGACGACTCTCATAATTGATTTTCTTGAGTGATGGTATTAATCGAGTTGTACGATGTTGGACTCTTTCTAATAAATCAATTTCACCCTAATAAATGGTGACCAAACTGGTTCTGCAAACTCTAACAGTGTTTAACATCTTTTCAAATTTTCATTAGTTGATCAATAATGTAACAATATCAACCAGGATTCTGATATACTAAACGACTTTTGTAATGCAGCCGCAAAATTAGATTAAGTTATGTATTCTGACAATATTAGTTTATTCATGTCTAATAATTATATTTATCAGTGGTGCGTAAAAATAAACAAAATAATTAGTTCAAAACAAACTCTTTATTAACTTTAATGAAACTTTGTACAGGGGAATATTTTTCTTATTTTTTTATATATGTTCAGGGTTGGCGCAACCATTAAGGTGGTTCACTACTAAAAAAAAAAAATACCCAAATTTCATAATTTCAAATTAAAAAGTGTATAAAAGCATAATATATGAAAATAAAAAACAACATAAGTGTAATTTAACAACAATTTGTTCTTAAAATTACGAATTTATGTCAAAAAGATTGCAAAATCAGTCAAATTTGAACAAAATTTTGAAAAACGAAAACTTGGAAACCATTTGAAATTAGATCTTTATATTTTGCAAACAGTTCGATGCACATAAAATGAAGGACTTGAACTAAAATCACTGCTATATTTTTAGTAAAAGTTGAAATTTTTGTTTTTTTTTGGCAAAAACATCAAAATTTGGGGGGTTGGCTAATGAAATGAAATAGAAAAATGTAAATAATTTATCAAATCCAACAATATTTTTGATTCAGGCCCTCCATCATTACACGTAGAACATGTCATGAAAATTTGAAGCAAAAAGCTTTAGTCATTTAAAAGTTATAATATTTCAAAAATTAAAAATTGCACAAAAAAGTGAATGAAGAAAATCAACAATAAACATTTTATAACTAATAAAAATATCAAAAACTTCCAGATGAGTAGGGTTTAAAAGTTTCCAGTTGTTCTTCTTCATCTTGCCAACCCTTGTTAATTGATTTTAAATGTATCCTTCTACTCTTTTTTTTCAAAAGTATCTTTTTTATTCATGCTGGCAACGCGTTTTTGGTCTCTACAAAATGAGGACACTGCAAATTTTACACCATTCTCAAGATTGAGGTGACTCATCACTCTCTGAACACCAGCAGTTCTCAGTTCCCTCATTAAAACACAATACAGCTGAGTTCACTCCCAACTCAAATGAAGCTTTGTGAATAAAAATATTTTTTGGGCATCTAGACCATATATTACTATTAAGACCCTCATTAGAATTTTGTGTTTGACCATGAGTGCATTTTTTCAAAAGGTTGTCATCACTTAATTCTTCAAACTCTTTCTTAATAAGGAATTATTAGCTGCAGTCTGTCTAATAGCCATACCAAAATAGTTTTGTATTCCATTAACTGCGCATTCTGTCAATTTTCCTTATCCAGTTAACCGATTACCATGATCTCGATCTTTTCTTCGATTACGTAATCTTGTACCAATGCGCTTCTGGATATGACCAACACACTAACTTTTCCTGTTCGATTTGATACTTTCCATATGGATTACTGCTAAGAACATCATTAAATGCAGAGGAATCTCCATCTCCCAAATAATATTTATAAATCAAACCATTTTTTTCTACAGAACGATTAAATATCTTTACCACACCAGCACTTTCCATAGCCCCTGACAATGCAGTGTGATTTAAGGAGCAAACATGATTAGCTTTCCATTCAGTATAACCTGAATGATTTTGCTTTCTTTTCCACATTCTTCATCCCCTACAATACTTGCAAAAGACTTCAAAGTCAATACATCGCCCTTCTAATATAGTGGTCATCACACCATTTAGCGAAACATGACCGTGTTTTTGCCATGAGCCATCTGAAGAAACTCTAATTAGTTTTTTTCCTGAACCAATGTGCTCCTCTTTAACTTTATGTTTAACTTTTATTGCAGCTGCCTTTGTGGATTGTTCTGCTGATAATTTATATGCATTTTGAATAGTGCTATTAAGTTTGTTAAATGCGTTGTTATTCATACATGAAGTGTTTGCAATACGGGCAAAGTCCACAAAGGCTTGGTGTCCTTTCCCAATTTCACGAAAAACAATAACCATTTTATGGTTAATATCGAAATAATTTCTGCCTTGTTTAGGTTCAGATTTTTTAACATCATCAGATGTATATGTACAATACTGAAGTTTACATTTAGTACATTTAAAATTCAACTTGTGAAAAAATCCACTTCGTTTATCGTTGTCATCTGTAAAAACAATACAACTGTTACATTCTGGGCAACTGCCAATATTATCAATAACTTTTTTTAAAATAGAGAAGTTTATTATAATGTTATAATTTTCTGAATTTATGTAATTATCAGCTTTTGTTAAAGAGACTTTGCTGGCACTAACTGAAACATGCTCAACACTTTCGTCTTCTTTTAGGGTAGGGGTTTTGTTCCACTGGTTGCCACAAAATGCTCTTTTTCTTTTTAAACTCTTTTTTTTTTGGTTCCCATTATATATAATATCCTAATATTTTAAAATATGTAATATAAAACTGATAAATTATACTAAATAATAAGAAAAATACAAAGCTTTTCAAATACAATAATAAATTATCACAAGATGGCTTCAGATAAATCATACAAAAATAGCAACTTCCATAGACTGTTACATTCTAAACTTTTGTTAAACCATGCTGACCTACTAAACTAATGCGTAACTAACAAAAAAAAAACTTAAATCAAGGCAAAGAGAGAGGGCAATTACAAACATAAGTTTGCGTTGCTAGGGGCCGTTGCTATGGTAAAGTTATCTGATAAAGTTTAACTTAAAGAAAAAATACTTCAAAAAATACTCAAGATATATGAAAACAGATTCCAGAAACATTTTCAGCAATGTTGAATAACATTTTCAGCAATGTTGGCTATATATTGTTTTAATATTGATGTATATACATGCTTGTTTATATATTAGGGGTATAAAATTTTTACAAACTCAATAAGCATGTCATATTTCGATGAGCTTTTGTAAATAATTAAGAGAATTTAGTTTCTTTATAATGTTTCTAGAAAAAAACTCATACACTGACCCTCTAGAAAGTTAATCACATAAAAAATATGCCTAGAAATTCTTTACTGCTAATTTGAAGTAAAATGTTTTTCGTTTTGTGTTAAAATAATAAGTTATATTTAATAAGTTATAAAGATATATATCACGTAAATAAAGCTGTATTGATAAATCTAACAAAACATCAAAATGTTTAAAAAGGTTTTAACAAAACTTTGTAAATGTAGCCTTTGGATGATCTTTAATGGCTTCCTCCAATTCTTTACCATTTTCAGGGTTAATCATTTGGTTTGAAAACCATATAACTGCCCATTTTCCAGCAACAAGCTTTACTACTATCTCAAGTCGTTGTCTGTCTAAAGAAATTAGTATTTAAGCAAGTAGTAAATTGCCCGGAAGTTCTATCTAGATTGGCTAATATTTGGAAAACTTTTAAAATTAACGTTAGGAAATATCTGTTCATTCCAAAAATATTTCACTGTGTTAATCAGATGCTTCAAAAACTGCATGTCATCTCTCCATTCCATTTCATCCCCATAAATCATATTCATTCAAAAGTTCTCGAAGTCCTTCAAAAATTGTCTCAGACTTTAGTCTCCATTCTTTAATACCATTGACTTTAGCCTAACCTCTTTTTTATTGTTCTTTATCACGACCACTCGATGTTTCACCCTAGCTATTTTTTTCCATCAAAATAAAAACACCAACTCTCGACCTTCAGTTCTTTCCTCAATTTATCTTGTTACTTTTTAGCTTTCCTAATGACTGCCATATATATTGCTAGTTAAATTGGTACAGAAAGATCGACACGAG